GCTGCTCACCAGTTACCCCCACTTGCTCCCCAATCACCCCCAGTCACCCCCCCCAGCTGCTGCAGCCAACCCATGGAGGGCACAAGGGACGGGGCAGGGGTGTCCCCGTGGGACGCCCACACCTCACTGGGACTTGTCCCCTTCCTGGGAGCAGCCACCCAAGCTGTGAGGGACGGCGACCACCACCGCCGACTGTCACCCGGCCAAGCAGCCCTCCCAGTTCCCACCCCGGCAGGGTGCTGGTCCTCTGGCAGCCTCCAAAAATAACCCGCAGGAGTTGGCAGGGAGCAGGGACAGGGAGGCACCGCCAGGCAGGCAGAGAACAAAAGCCGGGCGGAAAATTGCCATGTACGAAAGGGCAGCCATGGAGAACGGGGGAAAAACCCTGAACCTCAGCCGGAGCTGGTGAGGGACAGGGACAAGGCCATGCCACGGGTGACACCGGCAGCAAAAATCTGCTCCCTGTGGGCTGGAAAGAAGAAGGGATGAAAGGAGTGGGTAGTCTTGCCCAAAGGCTCGGAAAACAAATTAGCTGAAACGGGCGCTTGGCAAGGACCTGGTCTTGCCGGTCTCCTGCCCGATCGCTTCCCGCAGGCAGGAGTTTGGGAGCGAAGGATGCTGCGCTGGAGGCAGGCTGCCCAAAGTGCATAAAGCGGGGAGTCAGAGAGGAGCAGGCAAAGAGCAAGGACCCCCAAGGGCACGCCAAGAGCCGGCTGAGGATGGAGACCATGGCAGGTCGGCACCGGGATGTTCCCCGGCTTCTCAGCGATGGGATTTTGATGCTGGGTAATAAACGTACGGGAGGGAAACCCCTCGGTGTGCCGCAGGGGGAGCTTCACGCATGCATGGCCCGGAGCGTGCGGGATGGAGCCGGCGGGGCGGCAAGGCGACAGCGGGGCGGGATGGGATTTTGGGTGCTGTGCTGGCCGCAGGCTGGCGAGAGGATTAGTGTCCAGGTGTGATTAAATTGTGGCGTTATTAAATGATGCTTCTGGCCGGCTCTGCCACTTACTGCGGGAACACTGCTCCCGCCACGCTGCTTCTCGTGCGTGTTTCCCTTTAGGATGTCGGCTCCCAAGCACGGAGCAAGGATGCTCCGGGGGATGCTGGGATGCTCTGGCCGTGGCCCCACAGGGCACCGCTGTGGTCGGGGACGCTCAGAGCTGCGATCCCTGGCAGAGTGAGCGCTGAGCCCAGCACCCACCGTCTTAAGTAGGCTTTAAACGTGCTGAACAACAAGGGTGTAGCAGCAAACGCGGGGAGCGCGCTGACGTCTCGGCGGGGGCTGCTCACTCGGCATGACGCTCGCCCCGTCGCCGCTCCGCAAGGTGCTGCCACCAGATAACGTCCGGCTGGGGCCACCGAGCTGCAGGAGCAGCACGGCCGAGCTGCCTGGCTGGGGGAAAGGGGCGAGGAGGGGGGAAAGGCATCCCTGCCTCTGGTGGGATTTGCTTTGCCGGCCGAGCTCGCTCTCTGGAAGCCGGTCACTGCTCTGGGCATCTTCACGGGTCTTGGAGCGGTGCAAAGAAAGCATTGGAGAGAGATATTTTTAGATGCTCTTTGTGCTCGGAGAGCAGAAACGCGCTGTGGTTTGAAGGCCATTAGCTTGCTAGGGATGTTTGAAAAACTTAAATAAGGGCTTAAGATTTGGGAAGGTGTTTGACACGATGGGACGTAGCATTTTTGCAGAGACGATGGCAATTTTTGGGCTGAGCATCATAGCGGACACCCCAGGAGGAGCCTGCCCGCGGGACTGCCGGAGCCGGGCAATCTGGCTTGTTTAGCTGCCACGTGGACAACCAGCGGGGCCGGGGCGGACGATCCCCCAAGCGGGCGCGTTCGCATTGTTCGTGGGGGAACGTCTGCCATTAATGGCTGCGGAGGAGGCGTGGGAAGAGAGCGGACGAGAGGTAACGTGGCGATGCGCTGGGACCAGAGCTGGCTGCGGGACGGGGCGAGGGGTGACAGTGCTGTCCCTCCACCCTCTGCTCGGTCCCTCTGTCCCCTCCCTCCCTGGCCACCTCTTGGCCCAGTGGCTTAAAATTTAAGGGCTTCCAGGCAATGTCATGAGAGGGAGTGAATCCTCTGAAGTCCCCCTAGGATTCACACCTGCACCCACTGGGGAGCCCTGAGTGGGTGACCTGGTGGGGCAGGGCTGGGGGATGGCGGCGGTGAGAGGAGCGGGCAGGCAGCCAGCAGGCAGCTGCCTGTCCTGGAGCGGTGGCTGCCTTGCCGTCATGTCTCAGCTTGCGCTGCCTTGGCCGGCAGGGTCGCACATGATGGGGACAGGAGCTGGGACAGGGGCAGGAGGGGACGGAGGATGCGGAGCCCACGGCCTCTGGACGTGCCATGAGCATCCAGCGTGCGGCCGGGTTTGCACCTCCCCAGCATGGCGTGGGGCTTAGCCCCCCATGGGGACCGTCCCTGCTGGCCAGGATGGACACGGCCAGCCTGCCTGGGAGAGCTCAGCCGTGTGGGCTCGCGCCTGCTGTGCTGGCCGGTCTCGGGGCAGAGAGGAGCCGTGGCCTCTATTTTGGGTCACCCGTGAGGTGCTGCGTGGGACAAGGCTCATGGTCTGGCCATAAAAGTGCTAAGGGGTCCTGCAGCGGAATGGGGATGGAGCAGCCTGGAGGGATGCTGAGGCCAGGGTGGTGGAAGCAGGATGGAAACCGGGGGCATGTGATGCCCAGGGAGAGCATCAGGAGGAGAAATGTGATCCGCTGGGATAACCCAGCTGCGGAGCTGGCTGGGAGCAGCTTGGCAGTAGTGGAGCCCCCTCCTCATCCCGGTTCACTCCACGCAGGGACAAGATTTGCTCCTAAGGGGGCTGTTGTGCTGTTCTCCCTCAGCCCATCCTGCATCCCCTGCGTTGTGGAAATGCTTCGACACCAGAGGCCATGGGAAAATGGGAATCTTCCCTTGAAGCAGGAAGGGCTGAGCGACCCAGGCTCGTTTCGCTCGGCACGACTGAAGGCTGGAAGGGGTGCAGCAATGCTTTGGGTGGGCGGGAACGCCCGGGAGGAGAAAGAGCAATTTATTGTGCAGGACAGCATGCGTGGGCATGAGGAAAAATGGGAATAACCTCACCATGACTGCATCCCCCCAGGGCTTCGCAGGCACCCGGACATGCTCGGTCCCCCTCTTCGAAGAAACAAAGGCAAGGAGTAAACTGCCCTTAAGGTCTTGATCAGCTGAGACTCGCACGGTGATGCAGCTTGGTCCGGTGTTAGGAGACCTTGCCTCTCCTGCAGCCCTGGCAATGCGGGGCAGGAGCATGGGCAAGGGGAAACGGCCTCAAGTTGTGCCAGGGCAGGGTGAGGTTGGGCATGGGGAACAATTCCTTCCCCTTGGGGCTGTCAGGCACTGGAAGGGGCTGCCCAGGGAACGGGTCGAGTCCCCAGCCGGGGGGGATTTAACAGCCGGGCAGAAGTGGTGCTGAGGGCCAGGGTTTGGGGGTGGGATGGCAGGGGTAGGGGAAGGGTTGGGCTGGGGGAGCTTAAAGGGCTTTTCCAACCTAAATGATTCTGTGACTCTAAGTCTTGCTGCCCATGGTCTTGTCTTGCCAGGCCAGCAGACAGATGGAGGGCACCTGCGATGCCATGACCCCCAAAAGTCGCAGTGACGGAGGGCCCTGGGCTCCTGAGGGTTGACTCTTGGTCACCTGCGGAGAGGGCCAGGAGCCCTCATCGTGACGTAGTTGAAAGCCTAGAGGAGTTACAGGCTGCCTCACGGCAACGGGGAGTGTGGTGGGATAATTCCCACAAATGAGTATTTCTAGATAGACCCTTAGGTCTGTAGAGATGGGGCGGGAGGGATTTCAGGGGTTGCCCGTGCTTCTCAGGATCTGGGGGGAGGACCTGGCCACTGGGTGAAGGACCGAGAGGAGCAAGCCTAATTTGCAGGAGCAAAGGAGGGGTGTGTGAAGCCCCCCAGAGTGAGGATAATGTGGCGGAGATGGAGAAGGAGGTCGTGGGACCACCACGGCTGGAGATTTTGAACAGCTTATCCGTCCCTTTTTTCAGCCGGGAGGGGAGACAGTTGGCCTGGGGTGGTGGGCTGTGGGGGCTCCTGGGGCTCCTTTTCCACTGACTCCTTGGTGCTGTGATCCTGGTGCCGGTGCCCACACCCCTCTTCCCCTCACACATGCTGCTGTGGGAATGGTCCTGGTCTTGCCGAGACCCACTTCCCCCCCTCTGCCCTCCCAGCGCCACGGCTCGGTGCTCTAAAACTCGCCGAGAGCTTCGGAAGGGAGGGTGTCAGGGGAAATTGGGGCTGGCTTGCATGCAGGCGAGGTTATTCGCCCCGGGGCGGGCAGCAGCTTGCCAGCGCCGGCTTCCCGAGCG